GTAATTCTACAGCAAATACAATTATACTTGGTTGATGAAGAATATAACTTTTGATATCCGATATGTGTTCAATATTTGATGTCTAACCTTTTTTCATTATTTTATTTAGGTGCATTTTTGATCGCATACTGGGTGTTTATTATTGTGATTATTTACCCTCTGATAATTCTGGAGGCTGCTCTAGGACAATTTACTGGTCAGAGCTCATTTAAATCTTGGCATATTATTCCACTGACAAAAGGTATGTATGTGAATATGTCAATATTAATACATAAACTGCAAATCATTTTTCAGAACCTCGCTTAAGTCAAGGCCTCAATATGCCGCCTAAATAGCAACTTTTTTAGATAGGCCAATTTATGTTTGGAATGAAACCATTTTCTGTAATTTTATTAGAGATAAGAACTAGCTTTTTAATTAATTTGCAAAAAAGATACCGAAACAACATAATGATTTCAGTGAAAACTATGTTTTGATTGAAAGAAGTGGGCGTGTCTAAGAAGCGATCCAATACTGTACAATTAGGATAAGATTAACATAATCATCCCGGGGGAGAGAGAGAAAACCGATAATATTGCCTAATCATATGGCGAATCACGGCTTATCGTTCGGTACCTAGTCCTGTCGGGTATGAAATTAGTTAGCCAGCTATTTGTTTCAGATACATGGACTTGATTGTAGAGGAAACCACATCCGACGTGCGGTTACGTGAACCACCATATGTATTCGAGACGTGCTAAAATCTTCTCGCTAGCATATAATTATCCCTACGGGATTTGAAATTGCAAACCCACGCAGGGTAATCAGAGGTGCGGCGGCGAGCGTTTTCATAACACTTATCAAGATGTGCACACAATTTTTGAGTCTGTTTTGGCATCTTGAAATATCAAGATCAGCGATCGTTTTAATTCAACAATGTGATCGTCTGAGATATCACAACCTTTCAAGGCGGTTACTGTCTTGAAGTTCTCTAAAATCGTATAAGAACCTTCATATTCATGAACATAATTACCAACCAATCGAATTACAAAAATTTTGTGATCAAGGAAATAATATTATTTTTTTTAAATAACTTGATCACAAAGGGTATTATTCTCATATTCATGTCAAAAAGAAGAAAGTTATGGGCGCGATCAAATGAAGAACTACAGGGTCTCGCGAGAATGCTAACCTTCACTAGTTATCATGTAATCTTGTGATATTTTAAATAAATTCTATCTGTCCTCTTGCACGTAAACTGTAACGTGTCGAGCAATACGTTGTGCAAAATAACGACCGCGGTGATATCTTACGTTCTATATGCATAATATATCTTGATCTTATACGTCATTGCGAATAATTTAGTTTTTTTTCGTATTGAAAGTGTTATGATGCGAATGATATATGTTGATTTGTGATAAATTCGAAGGGGATAGAAAACAAAACCCCTGCAGTACAATATAGAAAGTTGCAGTTCATTCCGAATTTGAAATATATTTTTGTAATGGTATGCTTATTGATTGGCATTTCAATATGATCAATAAATATACGCGCTGCACGAAAACTTCTTTAAGCGCAACAAAATGTTTAAACGTAAACAAAGCCATATCAGCTTATGCAATGGAAATTTACAGAATAAATTCCTTCTATCCGCATGCCAAAGATAAGAAAGCCGCAGGAGCGTTAAATTTGTACCAACCATTCTCCAAATTGCAGGAGTAACTAAAAATTAGGCCGAAAATTTGGTTGAATTGGCAAATCAAACACCAGTGCGTCACGCTAATAACCGAATTGCGTAAGTCTTTTTCAGCAGTTTTGAGAAAAACGTGAAAAACTTCCTAATGATATTGTCATGCCATTGAGAGTCAATAATTTGCCATGGTTCAATTTTTTGATCGTAGCCGGATTCAAGTCAATTTGTATGACGCAGTTAAATGACGTCATAATAGCGCACTGTAACTTAGGCAAAAATGTGTCTATGACTTGGCGACATACGCAATTTTGCAACTTTACTATACGCACCAGTCCTGAAAACTATACCTTCCAAAAACGAATGTAATTCTCAGTATCTACAATGTCTAATCGCCAAAATAGCCAATAAGTTTCAATTACATTATTTTTCATGTTTAAAAATATATATTTCATAAATATAACACGTTCTGCACACCAAGCGAATTAAGACTAAGATTAAATATATAGAATAAAACAGCAATGCACCCAATATAAAAGCCAATCAAGGTGAATTGGACTCGGACAGTGAATATCACAAGCGCACGCCTCCCTATACTGTAGTATAAATTCAAATTAATACGCGCTAAGCTAGAATCCGAGATGCAAAAACTCGAAAATACTTCGCGGAGGTTATTTAGCCTTTGTGACGTCACAATAGTCATGTGATAACAATGAGAATTCATTATGACGAAACAATTGCACAAATGCGCATGTCATACTAAATCTCCATTTTTGTGGGTTTCGGAATTCCTAAAATAAAATCTGAGTTAACAGACAGGTGCGCAGCATTACATAAATACCTATTTTATAAAAAAAACTCAAAATCGCCAAAAATGACTTATGCTGTTCGGTTATTAGCGTGACGCATTGTTCAGTGTTCATAGCAGTGTTCAGACAGAAGAATGAATTCATGGAATGCAAATGAATTACGCATTCCATCTGAATGCACACACTCTAAATTTTGAAAACCAATAAAATAATATTATGAATAACCACAGTTAATATTTATACTTTTGAGTTCACGTACCTCGCCATCATAGCTGATTTAGCATGATTCTTCTGCATATATTACAATGCCCAAAACAACATCATCAAACGATGCTGAACGAACTGAGTGGAAAGTAACTGCGTTTCACCCCGAGCTCTTTAATTAAACCGCAAGTTCACCGGCGGTAAAATAAAAATTAAATCATACAACTCTTTTAACATTAACATGGCCGGAGGCAAAGGCGGCTTACACATAATCCGTTATCTAAATATTCAAAACATCCAAACCTCAGTTGCAAATCAAGTCCCACCTTAGAGGCAGTCGAATATCAAGTCGCGTCGTTCTGAAGTAATTTTCATCAATCGGGAATGACAAAACTGCCTTTCAAAGTCAACGCAATGCAAATAACACGAGACATCAAACGATGAATATCAATCAAACAATCAAATATTTATTGATATGATGAATTATATTATGATATAAAACTTGCAATCGCATGGTATGCCATAGACCAGTATATAATAGAAATAGCTAAATAATAGATTTGATAAACTGCGTCTGGTGTTGTTGTTTCGGGCAATAGAACTGGAATTTGCATGGAATTCAACATGAATTTTAGGCAGAAAGGATCGCTTCTAATTAGCGGCCTTATTTAGGTTCCATAGGGGAAATCAGAACGGTTTAGTTGTACAAATTTGATCCAGAGTTTTTTCTTGTTCCATGCTTAGGGGATTTATATAAGACCATCATACAGATCATCACTGCGAATTCTGCAGTAGTCACCATCTACACCAGTGCTTCCCAAACTTTTTTCTGCCAGCGCCACCTTGGACGACTTTTTTAACTAACAAACGCCCGCCTAACAAAAAAGTCGAAGCAACTGTATTCTCCATTTATCATTAGTATACTGTGAAGGTTGAGCCTAGTGAAATACAACCAGCTTGATAATATCTGGCTTCATTTCAGTTAAAAACTCGTCTTGAGTCTCGTCTGACACTGTCGACAGAATCTCTCTTGATACGTAAAAGTGCGGTCACTACACTAAATACACGCTCTACCATGAATGAGCTGGCAAGAGCAATTAAAAAACTTTTGACGGGTCTCACACGTGAGGATATTTCAATTTGATTCTGTTGCCAAAAAGATGGAACACTTAAAGACTGAACATCAGGGTTTTGTTTTTTATCAATTCTAAAAAAAAAACATCGTGTTACAAAACATGGGCTTGTTTTGAATCAAAAATTTTCTGTATTTTTTATTGAGATACCCCTTGCATCGCCGCGAAACTACGCCAAAACGTTGCATTCTGGCAGCTGCACACGCAGCCGGAATTATAATTTCAAAAATGTAAGTGAACTTTTTTATTTTTAGTTTACCACTACTGCGTACATTTGTTTTGAGTAAGAAAAATCATGAAAATTAGCTCACGAGCCTACAAAAGCAATTCGATCAAGTGAAAAACGAGTGGGTTGTGATAATGAAGAATATGCTTATATCGGCGGTTATCTACTGATATGAAAGATGAGACACCCTAACCTAGCCTATGGTAATTGTAAGAGTCCTCTGATGCAAAGACGCAACAACTAATCTGTTATGACGCCATAATATGGATTTCGAGGTCATGTATTGACGTTTTTCTCATAAAATGAAGTCATTGTTACGGTCAATTTATGCTCAACATACTTTGTTTTTTAAGGTTAAAGTGAGTTTTTCAAGGTTATACAAACTCATTTATTCGATCGCATTTCAATTTTCGCAACGTGGTTTCATCGCAGCAGGGTCGTTCACGTAATGGCTTATCGGTTGCGTCTTACTGCGCCAACCACTGAACTACAGCTTGAGAAGGTGTGCATGAGCCTTTATCGATATTTGTGGCATTTTGAAAGATTTATTGCACATAAGAAGCGCTAAGCAAGTTTTTACATCCATTTTTCTTCAACCTATTTAATACAAAAAAATCAAATAGTACAGCCATTTTGAACAAAACAAGCAAAAAAAAATTGATTTAAAACGATTGTTTTAAAACAATTCTCTTTGAACAAATCCCTATGAACATGGGTTTGAAAGTATAAACTCAGTGGTAGTGGTGCATTTTCGCTTCTGGAAATTCAGGGTTATCTAGAAAACGGAAACCAAAAATTTATAACCATCTCCAAAAAAATTACTTAATATTATTTGCGCTTGAACTTTTGTTTGCGTATGATTATACTTGGAAGTTTCGCAAAATTTTCAACCACGCACTTAGTTTTCGGCCGAAGCGCACCTTTCGCTGTTAGGACATGGAAATTAAAGAATTCAAACGGTGAATACAGAACATTACGTGGTTGTGCCGAGAAAAATCTGGACATGATTTGAGGGATTGATAGAGGTGACCAGCAGTGGTTCCAGCATGACCCCTCATACATCAAATAAGACGCTTGCTTCCCTGAAAGAAAAGTCAGCAATGGCATCCAGTGGGCACCTTAATTAACGGAATGGAACCTCTCAGATTCTGATATGTAGGGTGTTCGAAGGGCAATCCTTAAGCGATTGGTGAACTCAAGACTGCAATTGCAGAAATAAAATAGAGAATAAACCAAAGAAGAGTGATTGACAATGTTGCAAAAATAATGCAATTTTTTTTCAATGTCGAGAAGAGCATTTGGAACATCAACAGAAATTGTGTGCAAAACCTAGATTTTTGTCCTAGATTCTCCGACACTTTTGGGTACAAACATACGCAAACAGAAGTTCAAGTGTAGACAAAATTAACTATTTCACTCCATTTCGTAGAAGTAATCGAGAAATTGATGGTTCCGATTTTCTATGGGATCACGCTGTATAATACTGTTTTTAATATAAATCAGTTAAATATGCTGAAATTTCCAACACCGAAATCACAAGCAAACTAGTTTGAACCGAAACATAGGAGTGAATGACATAAATTATCACACTTCTTGCGAGCATCCCGTATTGATGTCAGCGCCCTCCAATCGCCCAGTTTGACAGAAAGCGCCCCCCAATTGCTCAAATCGCCGTCAGCGCCCCCAAGGTTATCGTAAACGCCCACAAGGGGGCGTTTTCGCCCACTTTGCGAACCGCTGATCTGCACTTTGAATAGGCAATGGAATATAATTATCACAGCACATATATATAATATTCTGGGATCTTTTGTACAAAGCCCCTAACAAAAAATAAAAACCGCCGCAGCTTGAAATAAAAAAAAATGTAATTATCAGTTAGGATGAGAGCTAGGAACGCAGATTGCGCTGGAAATTCTAATTTTCAAATCATTCCTGACCCAAACCCAACTCCTATGAAACGTGAAATTTTTTCTCTTATATCTCACATTTTTTCCCTAGTCGCGAAGGTTTTGTACAAAATATCCATAAGCTGATAGTCTATATACCGACAATGTAACAAAAAGACTATAAAAAGAAAGAAACAAAAAGACAAAACTCTCATAAAGTCTATGTGATTTGAGGAATAAAACCCTAGTATGCGTTATTCCACTTGAAAATATGTTACGACAGACAATAGGTCAACACGGAGATCAAGCAATTCAACCTCGGTTTGCTAAGTTTACTGTCCTTTCTAATAATGCAACGATATTATTTCAAAATGTTGAAGTGTATTTGAACCCACTGCGCGTTTGTCAAATGCAACTCCCAATAAAATTAGCATATTGTTCAAAAAAAAAAAAAAAAAAGACACAGAACGCTATAAATGCGTTTATCAACGGGCCACACTAATTAACAGTAGATTTCTGCATGGTTGACTTTTAAAAATTTGCAAACGATGACCACTTCATGTAAGCGGTAAACGCCAGGAGTCTCAATTTTAACTACTGGAAATTTGGAATTTTTTGGTCCTTTAGTTTTTCCTCAACAGCAAACACAATAAAAATTTATGAAAACGATCTGTTGAGCTACTTCGTGTTCGATGAAAATTTCGTTTTGTGGAGCGATTTTTAACGCTGACATGGTATTTATACGTGGAAAATTATTATTATTATTATTTGTTGAATTAATCTCGGTCTCGGTTTGTTGTGGCGATAAGGTTTGAAATGGATTCCATCATGCAGACCTCACATTTCCTGTTATGAAATCTGAATATATTTTGAAAATTATTTCTAGGAATTGGATATGCTGTGGTGTTTCTTATATTCTACTGCAATGTATATTATCCAATGCTTTTGGCATGGTCACTAAGATGGCTCGTCGCTAGTTTTTCTGCTTCTATGCCATGGACAACATGTAATAACCAATGGAACTCTGTCGAATGTCTGCCCTTGTCACAAATTGCAGCCGACTTTTCCAAGGTGAGTCACATCTAACTGAACTACTTTTACTTTTATATTTGTCGTTCACGTAACCGTTCTAAACATTATCACAATCTCAACATGACAAATCAAGCGAGTCAGTTTGGGATCATAGTTACCTGAGTCACTAATTGGAACCCTTATCCGGCAGAAATCCACGAAGCTGAAAATTATTAGTACAAGGTACGGAAACCTAATCAAATATATGGGACCTACGTAGCATCAGTAAATCTCAACATAGGTCTTAGCGAGTTGGCGATAGCACGCGACTCTTTCACACATCTTTTCGTTGGGGATTAATTTTGTTCATTCGTAAAGCAAACTTACGTACAAACGTAGAAACGGTGGCCATCTGATTCACAACAAGGATGATGCAGGAACATTATTTTTGAGCAAATTTGTCTTTACTGATTAAAACTCAAGTCCGCGTCAAGTCCGTTCCGGAAGAGTTAGAACAGATTCTTGACGTTACATTGTGAGAACAGAGACAAAACTATTTACATTAATCTTTAATCTTACACTTAAAAAGAATTCGACTGATCATCTTTCATCCAACACAAGCTCTCAAATTTTGTACCATAACTTCACATACGTTTCGTCAGTTGAAGAATTTTGGAAGTAAGTAGTTTTTAAATTACTATTTGAATAAATATTACCAGTTACTCTGATATTATTCGGATAATCAAATGGTTGATTTACTAGCAATATTCTTATAGCAAGTGATTATGGAATTTTATTACTTGAAAAATTTTACAAGTACAACTTAAATTTTGTTTTTGAATTTACTCAGAAACCATATTCTTGAAACAACGTCTGACATCAATGAACTCGGAGGAATTAAACCTGAATTACTTATTTGCTTCACTGTCATTTGGATTATAACATATTTTGCAATTTGGAAAGGGATAGGATGGACGAGCAAGGTAGTTTTTCATAGTCTATTTAGAGTTGAGTATTATAAATCGATTCCGGTTTCGAGCTTGTAATCAGCACACCACAAAATATATTATGAATGAATATTCTTGTATTGTGTATGAATACTCTTAACTCAGATTTTTGCAATCGCATATTCAAATTAAATTTACAATGCAGTAAACATACATATAAGCTCGTTTAATATTCGGAACCCATGATTGAAAAAAGTAAAAAATTGCGTTTCATCCTAGTTGTATAAAAACATCATTCAATAGCTTCAGTACATTGAGAGTTGGTGGGTTTAAACTAAGTATTTCACCACCTACACACTCTCCTCTAAAACATAGACGAGTGATTTTCAGTATATGAGATTCAAGAAGAATTTGCAACGAAGATGGAGTAGAGAAGCACCATTGATCGGGAAGGTTTATCTTCATTTAATTGATATGCTGGCATTCCACATTCTCAAGCTTGCTATTTTGGATTTCTAATTACAAACTGAGAGCGGGACAGAGTGTGATTCTTTCTCATATGTACATATACTTCGATAGAGGCAACCTAGTTGTTTTTTTATTCGAGTTTTATGTCGCAATCGCTTTACATAAATAATGTTATACGTGGAATTACGTTAGAATTCTGACTATATTTGTACAAAGCTTCAATTTTCCGCCAATATAATATATTTATCAACACTTATAAATATTTCATATTTCCATTTTCAGATTGTCTATGTCACAGCCACCCTACCGCTGGTTATGATTATCATAGTGTGTATTCGTGGTGTAACTTTGGAAGGAGCGCTGGACGGAATAAAAGTTTATCTCAAGCCAGACATCACCAGCCTGACAAAGATGGAGGTAGAACGCTCATTTGAGAACTTTTGACAATGCAAATAATGAAAAAATTTTTTTTGTGGAATTGACATCAGTGTACGACAATTTTTGCAGCTTTGAGATCTCCATTTAAATACATTTAAAAGTATATCATACAAGATAGGGGCTCCTTGGGAATACTGTCGGCATGAATTTTGCTTATGTCTAGTTGTAGTATTGCATCACTTATTAAAAGATTACTATTACATGCCTGTAGGTGGTTGGTTTTTTTTTTTAAAAACTGATTGATCTTTTCTACTAAAGAGTGAGGAATTGAATATTAAAAAATATTATTCATTTTATTTACTTATCAAAATTTGTTTCAGCTCTGGAGGGATGCAGCTTCTCAAGTTCTATATTCTCTCGGAACGTGTACTGGAGGACTTACAACTCTCAGCGCTTACAATAAATATAATCATAACTTTTTCAGGTTTGAATTCGTAATACAATGGCGTTTATGGACTGAATGCTAATTTTAGAATTATGGTGAAATGTTGTTATAACCTTTAAAAATTAAAATGTCATTGTTGATTATATTAAGATAATTTGTTACATTTATTTACTAATTCACAAGGAAAATTCATTTTTACAGAGACTCCATAATATTGACAGTAGCAAATGCGGGGGCAAGTTTTATATCAGGATTTGCCATTTTTTCAGTACTAGGATTTTTGGCTCACACGAAGGTCAGTACTGCTTTTTGATATTAGTAATAAACTTTTTTGAATCGTGTCATGATATTGTAACTTGGGTAGTGACATATATTAGTAAATATGACCGTTGAGTTGATTTTGTCATATGTAATACTATTTCCCGTTCTTATATTGTTATGGAGCAATATAGGTTTGACAGGAAACCTAATGTTAAGGAGTTTGATTCAAAAGAGAATCAGTTCCTAAAATTTCAAATTTAAAGACAAAGTGAGATTGACTATATAATATTATTTGCCTCTTCATTGAATGTGGTTTGTTGCATATTTACCTGGATTATGCTTTGATTGTTTCCACGAATCAAATTTTCTCCATTGGGTCATTCAATATTAATGCAGCAAGCATCTTCATCTTATCATCACTCCTAAAGGTACTTGATGAATAATATGAAATATATCCTTCGATGCTAGACTATTTTTTTGGTATTTTTTGAGCAGAACACGACCGTCGCTGAAGTTGCTGAATCTGGGCCAGGACTAGTATTTGTTGCATATCCCACAGCGCTCTCCTTGCTTCCACTGCCTCAGTTTTGGATTGTATTATTTTTCTCACATTGATATTCTTGGGATACGATAGTTTGGTTAGTGTCTATTCATAATTTACTGCTTTAGGATGTATAGTATTGTTTTGATACAATATATCGTATTTCTCATCTAGAAAGGATTAAATTTCTAACGCTTTTTTAAGAATTCTTACTCTCCTATAAGTAAAGTACTGAATAAAGTTACGAACGATCTTTGAAGATCTCTCTAGTGATTAACAAGTATAAAGAAGAGTTTGCGGGCAAACACTGGCGTCTTAAGAGTCAATTCTAATTACATTGTCGATTCGAATTTCTCAGTTGGCTACATGCTATTTAACATTTGACTTTGGCAATTCAAGTAAGCACTGTCGGGGAAAAAGTTTGATACAAGAAAATTTTACAAAGGACTATTTCATCAAACCCTGAACAATTCTGTTTTATTTAATAATGTTTGCTGATTAGATGCGTCGAATTCACACGCTTATCGCTAAGATTGAATACCTATCGATAATGGGAAACGAATTAGATTGTTTTGATAAATTACTGTGGGAAATCTCTTTTCTCCGTCAGTGATGAATAAATTGAATTTCAATTTTCAACTTCCTCAATGAAAGATAACGCTGTAAGGCTGTTAGTTTGATTTGTGTTTCCTCACGATTTTTCACCAAACATTTTTTTTATTAAGAGGAATACATTTTTCTGACGCCCGACATTGGTCTCCTGTTTCACTTTAAAGCGTTTTTATTACTTTATAGTTCGTCTTTCAAGAAACATTCATGTCATGTGTGAAAGACATTTTTCCACAATTGTTCCGAAAGAAATATTCAAATGAGATGATGATCGCAATCGTAGCCGTAATAATGTACCTTGTCGGACTTCCCATGACTACACGGGTGATATTCTAATGTCATATCGAATGTTATAGAAAATTGCGTTTATCAAGCTATTTAAAATATTTCTGATATTTTGTGATTATAGAACAAACTTAATTAAATATTGTTTAATTAAATTAACAATTATATTTCGTTGTATTCTGTAGTCATGTTCATTTGTGAATATATTTATATATTCCATGTATTCAGGGTGGAAAATACGTATTGAACATTTTCAACTCATACTCGGTCAGTGGATGGTGCTTGTATTTCATGGCGTTCATTGAGATGATCTCTATTGGTTGGCTATATGGAGGAGACAAAATGCTTGATAATATAAAACGTATGATCGGATTTAATGTGCCCCGATTGTGGATGAAATTACATGGAAGTACATCGGACCATTGCAAGCTTGGTAAGATATATCCAACTGATAAGAAAGAAAAATGCAATTGCACATCGCACGATGAATGTCTTCTTATAGCTCTTATTAACTTTCCTATTTATTTGAGTTCTTGTGTTTTCCTATTTTATATATAAATATAATAATATATACACCAAGTATACCAATTCTACCAATATTAAATCCATATTTAGGTTTGAGTTGGTTAAAATAAGAAATCGAGTAAATAATTCAACTTTTTTTAGTGACAGCTTGTTAATTATATTATTGAGTACATTGGGATTTTAAAATCGCTTGTCAGATAGTAAAAATGCGAAAACTCTATTAAAATAAGCAACAGAAATCTTGAATGGTAAAGTTTCAAAGTAAAGGCACGGAAAAACATGGTTGAACTTTCCATGGACTTCCTATGATTTATCCGATACAGTTGCACAGACGGATCTATGTTAATCAATGTTCAGTTAAATTAGGCTAAGTAATTTCTCTTCAGGTATTGATGATCAATTCATTAGCATTATACGAACCTCTTAAATACGACCAAAACTACGTGTATCCCGTTTGGGCGAAACGCATTGGGATGGATGACTGCACTCAATTTCCATATTGTGCGTTCCAATCTTGGCAATTTTCGTGCTGTGGAAAGCAAAAGGAAATACATTTCTGGAGGTAAGCTTGTCGTTTATTATTTGGACACCCGGGGGTCGTAATAACTTTCATTTGATGAGGAAAGTGCAAACCTAATTCATTTCACTGAACGTTGTAATGAAGTGTGAACCTGGCGTTTTTGATTTGCATTGCACCACGAGATGGAGTCGTATTGTCGAATGTCCCGGATTTGAATTTACGCTTTGAGATCAGAGAAAATTGTGAGGTCAAAAGTTTTGTGATATCAGACTTAAGAGTTTATTGTTGAAATTTTAAGGGTTGACACAAAAATTTTCCGCAAGTCAAATTCTTGAATGCCTGAAACTTTTCTGCATACCCACCTCCTTCGTTGTCAGTACGTTTAATAGATTTTCACCTCAATCTATGCTTTCTGATACCCAGTATCTGGAAGTATTTGGAAATTTCTTCGTTTATAACCTACTGCTTAACCAACCTTTTATTTGTACTAACAGAAATTTCGTTCGGCTATTGTACCGAAAGAGTTTATAGCAGAAGAGAGATTTTTATCAACGAAGAACTTGAACTGAAAGAGTCCCTCAATTTATCCTGTCAGAACGACGAACAAGCTTGATTAGTGTTTATTGGCTTATTCATACTCTCAACAGAATTTAATATTATTTTTCTTTTGGATTTTGAGCGTGAAGTGATATTGTGTATCAAGTATGTCACGTCGCGCCCACTTGCCACGCACTTGACCGACCCATAGTTCTACGTTATGGTAGATATGAATTCTGGAACAAATGTTAAAAAGTAAGCATATGCAATGGCGTTCATGCCAAGTTCTGGACTGAGAAGTAGGTTATGATACTCATATAAATTTAGATTCATACAATTGGAACAAGTGTGAGACAAGTGGGGCACGGCATTATTGAGACACCTGCAAATATGAAATTATTAATGAAATAACACTTTAGGAGTTCCAGGATTGATTACCAAGACCAAGTTATTTTGAATTAACATTTCTTAGACTCACATTGCTTTGTAATTACATGCTCCCTATAATGGCTCATTTACACCTAATGGCTTACTCTGTTTTCCCTCGCCGAGCATTTAATGTTACCTATCAAATAATTTTCAGCATTTATATACGTTTCAATTATAACTAGAATATTCTGTATATTTATTTGTGTTAAAATTTAAGTGTATATTTCAGTATCTATATCTGTATTTGAAACAGTCCAATTCTATCAATATATTACAATATACTGGTTGACAATTAACCCCACATCATCGTGTGCTTATTTGACTCCGCTAAACTAAGATTTCTACCGAAAGTATTGAACCCCAATAAACATTATTTATGCTATTTTATTTTCCCGGAAAGCAGAAAGTGCTGGACACGGAAACACATTATCGTGTTGTTATCAACACTACATTAATCGCAAATAGATATTCTGATTGCTTGAAATATATTCTCATAAAACCACAAGCAAGGACTCATATACAGCGTAGTGCAGATCCCAAGTGTGTAAGTCATCTTGCCATCTCTCTGATGTTAGGACATATCTAAGTGTAAGCCGTAAGTAAACCTGCCATTCTACATGCAGCTCCACACAAAGGTGTCAGGTTATCATGAACGATATCGTTTTCAACTTCACAAAACTTTCAAAATTCATTAATCGAGAAAGCAGCGTGTTGGAGGTTTTATATTTAACAATCGAAGTAATGAAAAGAATAAGTAAATGAAAATAGAAGCAATGAAAGCAGCCGTAAGCAAATGCATAAAAGTTACCAGTTACCACTATTAGAAAACATTTAAATCCCACTCTTTAGCAAAGTAATCCACTAATAATATTGATTTTAAAAAGTATAATAGTATAATTTGTAACTGAATGTATAAACAAAAAAGATTCAAAATGTCTGCGATCAGTTTATCACACTATAGAAAATGGTATATTAAATTGACACACACCATATATATATTATATATATATATATAATATATGTATGTAGGCCTAGAGTTAACAGCTTTTCGGCTTCACGGGTTCTTCAATTCATTGATCCGGATTTTTCGTAACTTCCCTGGTCTTGTCTGCCTAGTAAAATGTCACAATGCGATGTCGTTGTGTAAATGCAAAATATGAAATATTATGGAGACACAATTTAAAGTTCTACAGGATATGTATATACAATAAACGGAATTTAACAAAATTTAATATATATGTGTGTGTATATATGTTACCATTAATTAAAGATTTTTTCATCGATTATCGATCTGCCTTTTAGACTGTTAGACTGTTGCATCGATGAGCTGCACGACACCAAAGTGGCTACACTTTGCACGACACGAGATCGCACGTTTTAAATCAATTAAGTCAAAGCTACGTTATATCGTGGTATGTTATAGCTTGTCAATCAATGTAATTTTACAGAATGAATCCTCGATCGATTTTAAAAGGTTTTCACAAAATTCAAATAAGGTTTGAACCAAATATTGAAGGCTTATAAAATGAAAATTTAGCCATATTTTTTGGTGGAACTAATTTTGAGTAAAGTATACTATGAATCAACTTGAGTATAAGTCCTGTTCCAGCCAGTTTTAAATTTGTACATCTTAGCACAGGTATTTTAATTGAAGGGGGTATGATCTTCCTATTCACATACTTCAATAGAAAATGAACATGGTCATCGCTTTTGTCGGTATTTTAAATTCGACACCTACTTCAATCAAATTTAAATTGGATAGATTCAGATCTAATAAATACTAAATATCGCATATATTTGCCAAATTATATATCATCGTGAATAGGCTTTTTTTATAATTACCTTTGTCTTATCCTCGAACGACTCTTCAAGTCCATTGTATTTTGATTTTTGACAGGAAAAGTACAACTTACAGGATATGAAGAAACTGAATATTACGGCTACCAATAGTATCCCAAAGAATGGAAGCGAATTGATTTCAAAACTGTTTTCGATGCTTTCACCCAGACATTCTTTAATGGGTCTACCGTCCTTTATAACAATTTTACAATCGAGTGAATCCATATCTGCTATTATCGTGTGGCGGATAGGTATAAACGCATGCATCCAAAATATGCTCAGTAGTATCTACCTGGTCTGTATATTTATCACAAATCACAAGATTAGAAGTACGGCATTCTAAAAACATTGTAAAATCGTCTAAGACATTAAATGCCAGTCTATTTTATTCTATTTTAAATATATATTTATCCCTCTAACTTTTTGACCTAAAACCCAATTTTTCTACTTGAAACGAATCTTTCTATATAATTGTTAAACACTCGCCATGGCTTTTGCTCGACTTCTGATTTAACTACTGTCTTTATTTATACAACATGAAAAACATTACTACAAAAAAAGGTCAAATAATTACAACCGTCATCTACTGAAGGGAATGACTTGAATTATTACTAAAAATGCTAGAAAACGATAGTAAGCTTTTTGCATTACCATTACGCCTTTATAAAGAACGTTATTATGCAATGCTGAGCCTCTGCTCGACATGACCGAAACAATCAATCAATAGCTGTGCAACAGTTTTAATTCTTACTAAGCCGTCATATTCGGATCATGGTCAAAAAGATTGCATGTTGTAAAGGTTAAATGAAAAAAAAACGTGAATGATAGTTTTCTTTCATATCCGATGCATGATTTTGATTTGAAACCCTTTCTCTTGATGTTCTGAACATTTTTTAACACAAAACACATTGAAATACGATTCATGGTTAGGCCTTTGAGTATCGCCGGAGAATATTGGCCAATCAGCAAGATGCAAAAAGTGACGTAACCGCTCCGCTCAGACACTTTTCTCACTCAGACAGATTTCCAAGCGTGGTCGTAAAATTACCCTCGTTTTCGTGTTTTTGAACTCTATTCGTTAGTTTTCTGTTGTGTTTCGAAAACTTAAATATAAATCAGATAATTCAATGATCACTCTGTCATCCTAGGAGCTTTAATTTAATTGCAGTAATAAAAAATTAGTGTAGAAATAGCTGTGATAGACTAGGCTAAAATTCTTTACCGGTATTTTTAAAAAGCAGATTGTTGTATGCGATACCCCATTTTACAGGCGTCAATTCGCAAAAGCACTCTTAAAATAGCCTCGAAAATTTTGCAACGGTAAAGTATAGGAAGAATTTTTCGGGGCCAAAGGTCGATGGAAGGTCCATAATTTCTTTTACAATCAATTTTCGAAACGGATATTTCTTATAATTTATACTAAAGTAAATAATCACAAGTGTAAAGTAGATCCTATAAATCACTATGATGAAAGCACCCCTCAGTGGGTAACAAACCTAGTGTTTTAGTCATGTGTGATCCGCGAACACGTGTACCAATAGTCAATTTATGATGTCATAATACTAAACAACAGTTGACCACTCATATATAAGTATATGTTAGTAACAACAATGACATGGTCCACTTTCTTGAAATATATTGTTTTTGCCATTCGTAGCAAACTCACGGCAGTCTAATTAAATTAAAGTTGAATGCAAACTACCAATTACCCAAGTTCCGTTTGGCCTAATTCGAGAATCATCGCAATTGTACTTTTGTATGGCGTAGTCGAGCCTGCTAACATTTATGGTTGGATTTTGTCTTGGTGGAACATTCTACAGAGGTAATTTACCATAGGTACAACTTTCCGAATAGGGAATTCATCAGTGAGATTTCGTGGGCTGAATGTTGTAGTATTTTATATCATAAACCATGCCAGTGGTGAAGGGTTAACGTTGTAACCATGCTCAAGCACAATGTGTTGATATCGCGAACTCTGAAAACTTTCGACCTCAATCACATACATGTACCAAGAACCGAAGCCAATTCCTACTTTAATTAACAACACAAATAAATAGAATAATGATATTTTAAAATTTACAATGTATTGTCAAAATTAAAGTTAACGAGGTATATGACATCTTCAAAAAAACCTTGCGCTAAAAATAAACGCTAATAAGTCACGCACTTCGGATATGGAAATCTAACATTAGGCATGCTTCAAATTCACTATTCATATTTAAACTAATCGTCACTATAGTTTTGTAGGTATAAATGAAAAAAAAAATAATATGGGTGGATAGTGGCGTTACTATGTTTAACAGCCAATGAAATGTTCCTATATTTACTTCTGTTAAAAATATAAATACCTTGCCAATTTGTTGTTGTCAGAAATTGGTTTTCGTTCCTTCACAAATATATATATAATGAATATTCGATTAGGTGCTGTAAGTCTACCAGTTAATATATGGGTTGAATGCAAATTTGTCAATAAAAGAAAGAAAACGTAATAGCAAAAGTTATTGATTTAAATATACATGTTTTAAATGCGTATATATAGAGAGAAATAAGCAATCACATCTGGTTTGTGGCCACGCTTGAATGGTGATAATTAATGCCATCGATTCATTTCTACCTATGGCGGAAGCTTGGCGGAATTGTATTCTTGAGATTTTTACTCTTAACCAGTACTCAACTGGAATGTTTATAATAAGTATTCGTGACGAAAATGAATAAATAATTACCTGGAATCCAGGATTGTTTGAAACTAATTCGGTATTATAGCATGGGTTATAAAACAAAGTGGATACTGTGACAGTTGAATTGGAGTGACAGTTGAACTTTTGATGCCGCGTGATTTTCACGGAGAACGAGCAAATTGTAAAAGGACTATATGGACACAGACAGCAGGTTTTCGGTACTTCAGTGAGAGGTTGTGATTGAGCCGTTTGTTACCGACTATATATCCCAAAACGGGTGTGAAGGTAGCTCCAATAACGGCCCAATATTTGATAATCATAGATCGTATGTCTAAAATCAAAGTTCGATGATGACGTGTTGTGTAATATGTGTATTCAACGTTCTATATATAGACTATAGAGTATATACGTAGATTAATCGAGGTCACGCACCGGCGTAAGAATGTCATGAATGTAAGACAAAACGACCTTATAAAATGGTTTATCTATAACCAAATATTCTTCCGGGTAGCATATAAATCATGATGTATTTAAATAACAACAATTTTCCATGAAAGGTTCTTTTAAAATTAAAGACATTTGACAAAATTTATTTTCGTACGGAGAAAACTTAATCAAATATAGAAGAGACACGCAGCTAATATCTATATATATCTATGATAATAGAAGGTTAATTCTTGGAGTCGTCGTTTACCTTTAATTCTTCTTTATATTATTGCCATAACGTCATGATATAAAACGACTAAATTTAAAATAGTACATGTTTCGCACAAATTGAACGTCTTTTCACTCAAGTTTTGCGAGTTTCGGACCTGATTTGTATTTCGTGTACTCACGTAAATTTTATACGTTTGGGTTGGTGAAATATTTGCAGTTACAACATTTCCAATGATTGATTCGTTTAGTTAGCATGCAGAAGGAAAATTATTTAGATTTGAATTCTTTATTGCTGAATTATTAGACTTTCGAACGGTGTATTGCTTCCTTTTGAGATGTAAGTGATTTCGAGATGTATGTTCATGTCTAGGAGGAATTCACATATCATAATAGAGTATTCTGACAATGTGCAAGACTCTCATCTTAAGATTTATCTTGTCACGTAGTTTTTCTTTGTTAGTATGTATAATATTGTATTGCGTAAAATTGTATAAAATGGTTTAAAAACTTGCAGCTTTTGATAACGCTTGGTTAAGTGACAAGTTGCAAAATTTTTGATCGATATGTACATTTCAATTTATAGTAGATTTGTTTGTTAATCACATACGGAAATGCATGTGTGGACACATATTTTACCTGTTTGAGATAAATAAGGCTTATTGTAAACAATAAAGCATTGAAGCGTGTTAAAATTTTATCTTTCAGCATTAGAATTTTTTTGAAAACATCAATTAAAAAGGGAAATAAATAAATCCGCAAAAGGCAAAAAAAGTTTTCACTCAGACGCCATTATTTCCCATGTGGTAACTGACTGACTGAAGGAACGATTATCAATATGAAAACTGATCACAACAAGAACTTGACTCAAAAAAAAATGAACAAGAATAAATTACTGGATTTCATCAATAGTGACATCATCGGTCGTGACGTAACGTTTCACGGACCCTTTGGTCCACGGCAAATACTGTATTGTGACTACGTAGCTTCAGGAAAAGCTCTGAAATCAATTGAAAATTACATACAGACCGTAGTTTTGCCAATGTATGGTAATACCCACACAACGACCACAGTTACGTCATCACAAACTACGTCATTCAGAAGAGAAGCAAAGTAAGTGAAACAACTATTTTGGCTTGTGGACCATTTAACAGATATATATACAGTCATATTAGAATTGCAAGATGGGTGATTTTTGAGAGTTTTTTAATAGAATAGATTTACTTAACGCACAATCACTATATGATTGAAGTAAAGGAAACTTATCTCCGGGCAAAGTTACGAGCAATAATTATAATGCCGGGATCATCTGAAACTAATGAATTGTGGAGGCTAATCCAGCTCAACTGGATGCGTCGTTCCGAAGTGCTGAATTCGGAAGTCATATTCGTGTTAAAATATTCTGGTCCCGCTTACAAATATCTCAATAGTAATGCCCAATATAAAAGTGCACTTCATACTACTATCAATTTATGTATATACAGTATCTAAATTTTCCAATCAAACTTTACTTCACAACTTATGATCTATTCACATCTAATAAAAATTTTCAGAGAAATTATCCGACAAGCCGTTGGCGCATCGGATGATGATGTTGTCATATTTACTGGAAGTGGAGTAACTGGTGCTGTACACAAGTTGATTTCAGTTTTGAATTTAACCAAACCTCCTGTGATATTCTGTGGACCTTTCGAACACCATTCCAATCTCTTACCATGGAGAGAAATGGGGGACAATGTTACAGTAAGCAAACTGATATGATATTTTTTTTATAATAACTACTATCAGATATTGTTAGTAGCTACCAGCACTTTGAATTAGGAGCTGGAGTTTTGGATGCTTTATTAGAGTCGATTGTGGAGTTGCATTCTACAACCTCCCGGGGTAAGGAGTTCGAGCCGATAAAAAAACAAAATAAGAATCAGGTTGTCGGACCATTCTTGACAATTAAAAAAAAAAGACTGTATATGTCAACGTTTTCGTGGTCAAAATCTGTTCTTCTCGGAGTCAGGAGCTGAAATCAGAGATGGAATAGTTTTAAAAATAGCGCGAGTTGCTGGTTGCGCATGCTGGGTCGTTACTAAAACATAATTAATATTGCTAGGTCGTCAATATCAGTGAAACTGCAGAAGGAAAAGTTAACTTGAAGCATTTAGAAATTGCTCTGAAATTGTGGAAAGACACAGGTAGACCGATGATAGGAACATTTTCTGCAGCTTCAAATATTACAGGTAATGATAATCCTTAAAATTTGATAGTCTTGTATACTGTTTTGAAAAATACACGGAGAAAGCCTTGATCACTGGCCTTGATTCTCAATTTGTCAAGTAGCCTAGTTCAATTGAAAAAGTATTCAAGTTTACCTAGTCGGTAAATTTGCTCACGTTCTGTGACTTAACGAGAACGGTTTATGACGTCATTGTCGTGTTTATTATCTGATTATTCCCTTTGCATCTGATAACATTTTGGTTAATGAAGGAAATGGTGGTTAAATTTATACTGACGCGTCGCTGTATCAGTACGTCACAGCTTTACCGAGTATTTGTTTTGTTGCACTCTGGATTATCACGATTTTGTTTTGGACGTCGGCAAAAAAGTGTGTCACGTCACAATTATCCGGTATACCAAGTTTATCCCTTAAGGCTTGAATCAATATGTTTGCTCTAGTTTTCAAGGAATGAATATTCTTTCATTGAATTCTGTCTGAAGGCTATTTTTAATTTTGCAAACGATCATGCTGTGGTTAGTAATAACGATAACAATATTAGTATATATGTCAATAACAAATTATAGGATAGATTGACGACCATTAAAATCGCTAATTATGGTACTATATCGATATATATACTGTGAATTATATATATTATATTTATATTATTATCATCCATACCAGTACGTAATTCGAATCCGTATAATTTCCGGACGATATTTTATTCAGTGCAAGCGTGCATGATGTTGCCTTTTCCGATGCCTAATCGGAAAGCATGTATCAGGGGCGTAATTTTAGGTCACGCCTTGAAAGAGTTAAGCCAATTGCATTTCACGGATTACTCGCCATTCAAAGCATAATTTATTTTGTATGTCTTGTTTTTATTTTCTGTATTTCAATAGTCGTTTACTTAAATGGCGACAGTCATGGCAAATAACCACGAATTAAAATGGAATAATTTCCAACATAGCATAACATAAATTGAATTGATTACTAAATTGGTTACTAAAACGCTGTTCTACGCAAGACAAAAAAGTTTTTACCGCTACAAAACCACAAAAAGGGTGAAAGCTGATGATTGAAATCACATTCAAAATCATGCAACGTCAAATCACTTTTAGGTATAACAACCGACACACAAAAAGTTTCTGCATTGCTACACAAATACAACGCCCTGTCACTGTGGGACTATGCAACAGCTGGTCCATACATGGATATAAACATGCATCCAAGGTCATTAGATGGAAACAATGCTTCAAAAGACGCAGTGTTTATATCGATGCATAAGTTTGTTGGCAGCCCGGATGCTCCAGGTAAATTATGCAATTGAAACATAAAATTCATGTGCGAATAATGGACAAAACAAGGCCTATTGTTTAACGATATTTTTATCACGGTACTGCCTAGTTTGGTAAATATTTCACAATCGCGACGATACAGCATCCATCGCTGATTTTGTGTGTCGTATACATTTTGCTTTGAGTATTCGGATATGAAGATATTTTAAAGGTTATTGTGAAAGAAACTTTTGTTTTCGAATCTTTATCTTTCAAAAGACAAGTATTATACTGAACTATGAATTTGTTCCTATATCGAATTTAAAACACACTGTGTAACGTTAAGGTTTATCTATAGCGTTGGGATACAAAATTTTAAGAACAAGCCCTATGTTGTATCGTGCTCACTGACAACAGATTCTATCATTTTAGAAAGCCATTCCAAGCATATTCATTATTGTATACCCCTAAGCAAGATACATTTACATGGCACGCTTTTTTACATAAATACATAAAGCATAGAATTCTCCAAAAATACCACCAGTTGTTAGCACAAGGACAGGTTCGGTAGTTTTCACGTCATTTCAAGAACGTTCCTGAATTGCTTGAATCCCATCATTGGTAAACAAAGCTATTATACGACGCAGCATCACAATTTTGTTCCTGCGATTAATTCAGAAAAATATTCATCAAAATATATTCATGCAGGACTGCTCATCGCATCTAAACGACTTTTCAGTAATCAAAATAAAGCGCCGTCAGGATGTGGAGGTGGAACAGTATCATTCGTTACTCAAGATCACCAGCATTATTTACATGATATTGAAGTCCGAGAAGAAGGTGGAACGCCCGCTATAGTGGGATCTATAAGAGCTGGAATCGCATTCAAATTGAAAGAGGTATAGATGGCTGTTCATAAATTTCGAATATTTCTGTGTGTTTTTGAAGACATGCATATTGTTACAACATAATATATATGGGCTTCTGTTACGGATTATTTACTGTGGAATTTCTCAAACTCGTTGCTTGTTTTTAGACCGTGGGAAGCGAATCAATAATGTCACGAGAGAACGAATTATATAAAAAAGCAATAAATGAATGGAACGATATTCCTGAAATAGAAATATTGGGAATGCTTGATTCAACTGCTGAGCCGCAGGAGCACAAACTTGCTGTTTTTTCTTTCCTTATTCGACAAGTTGATTCTGGATTATACTTACATTACAACTTTGTGACTGCGCTACTCAATGACCTATTTGGAATACAGGTACTGCATTTTTATGCCGACATATGTATATCTTACAGAGTACCAAACAATTTCAGCAATACGTTGTTTTTTACTTCTTCATGAAATCCATCCTAGATACGGAATCTCTGAATAAAAGTAGAAGAATGATTGATGGAAGTGTCTCAAGTTAACAATGACGCACTTAGAGCTTTCTTTCAAATATATTGCTGCTGGTCCTTCCTTGGTCAGCGTAAATCCGCCAATGTCATCTTATAGTATACTAATTTCTTTCATAAAAAGAGTTTTATATATATAATATATTGTATTTCTTACAGTCTCGAGGAGGATGCGGTTGTGCAGGAGTATATGCTCTCAACCTTCTTGGAATAAATAAAACTATCAGCGACAAATTTGAGAAGATTCTTGTCCCAGATTTGTGAGTATGAATTCTGCTTGAAAATGTTTTTAAATTTCTTTGCCAACTTACAATAACCAGTCGTAAAAGCGTAAGTCATTAGTGAACAATCAAAATAGATGAAATATACTCTAACAAAATTAAATAAACTAGAGTAATTAAATATATAATTAAGTATTTCAAATTCAAAATTCAATCAAAAATTTGTAAAAGTGATAAGTGATTAAAGATGAATAATTCTTGATCCGCGCACGAAGCAAATTCTGATTTGAACAATGAAAAGGGCCCAATATAGCTCACAAAAGTAACCTCGATTTTTGGTTCAACTTCATAACTGTCTCTGAAATAAACAATTTTTTTAATTGTGACAGTTTTGTGTGAATGTTAGATGCAAAATCACTAGACTTACCAATGGGACTTATTTTTTCCCATCCAAAGCAATTTATGCCCATTCTATGAGACCTTCTGGTTTCTTCTGGTAATCTCATTACCATAAACATGCCTGAAAATTCACACATCCATCAATGATTTATCAACATCAAATATATATTTGCAGAAAAAAATCAAAAAACGGGGAAAAGGGTGTATCCTCGGATAGAACGGAACTTGAAATACTACGCCCTGGCTTTACCAGATTGAATTTTGCTTATTTTATGTCTGACGAAGACGCGGATTATGTCATCAAAGCAGTGACAATGATTGCAAAACATGGATGGCTGCTGCTCCCAAGTTACAAATATGATGCTTACACGGGGGAATGGCATCACATCGGACACAAAAAGGTGACATTTGAAGATTGGAAAATAAAAGGAGAACGGTTCTTATCTAAAACTAAATAGCTTCACTCCTTATCGCGTGCGAAAATGTGTTGCGATAAGGGCTTTTCCCAGCCGCTGCAAATAAAAATGGTATAAGTTGTTAAAAAATTTGTGATATTTCACTTGGGAAAAATTACTTCAATTATTGCAATTTGGGTGTGATGCCATCGTTTTACCAAAAAAATCTTGCAATTGGATTTTGCCATCTTCAGTTAATCAAAATTAAATGGTCCGCTGTCTCGATTTACTCTAAAACAAAAATTTATTTATGCAGGGAAATGGACTGAAATATATGGCTGACGTCGATTTGGAGGAGGGAGGCGCATGTCGCGACGAGGAAAAATTGAGAGATTTTGATATTGATATTAATGACTTGCCTTCCTCACGTGCAGAATGTCTTGCTGAAGCGGAAACAATAATGCTAAATGCTAAAGAGGTAATTTAAAGCGTGATAAACGCTTGAAACAATCTGAGACATTGTTATTTTGAATTCAAGGTATTAGATTTGCCATTGTATGGTGGCAGTAATTCAGCAGCTTGCTCCTTTATTTGTTTATTATACTCTGATATAAACACCAAAAGCGATCCATTCACACAATTGCCCATTGTCATACTCTAAAATGAGAATAATGGCACAGGGGAATACCTATAGAACAATTGACTTTTCCAGGTCAACGTGATTAAAAACGAATCAGCAGAAAATACGAGCTTAATCCAGACTCATGAATTACGATGGTTTCTTCTTCCACGCGAAGCTGAGGATGTTTTGGAGGGAGAGGCAATAAAAATTGAAAAATCCAAAATGTCTATAGCAGTGAGAAGAAACATACAGGAGTTAACAAACGAAGACATAACGCTTGAAGTAACCAATAATTTGGACGTTCTACGAATTGAAAAACAAAATAAAATACTGAATGCAATTGCAACTAGCAATGTTCGTAACACACTAAGACGAACAAAAAAAGTGAAAAATAATAAAGAAATCAAGAAACCTCTTGAAAGAAAAATCACACTGACAGAAAACGACTTATCAAGAGCTACTCACATAACTAAGAAAAAGGGACATTTCTGGAATACATTGATGTGCAAAAGCACAAGATCAGTTAAAGTCGCAACACAAAACAAACCTACATGATATAATCTAAATGTGGTTATTAAATTAATCTTATATCAATCACTGTACAAATTTTGAATTTTGCTATTCCTAAGATAACTCAAAATATAGCAAAACAATATTGAACTATTTTCGTGCAAAGTTATAGAAGTATCATCATGCTTCGGGATATTTTAAATATTGCGATGTAAATAAAATTGTATTTAAAATGTATATTCTGCGTTATTTTGACAAATTAAAGAGATTTTGTATAACTTTGAATTCGACAAAGAAAGCAACAGACTGTAGAATAGGGATCCTAGTTGGCCAAGAGGCAATGAAAACATGCTATAAATATACAGTTAATGATATGCATATACAGCCTATAAATACCTTCGCGTACACAGCCAACCCGATCAATATATAGCCAATCAACTGACATGCATGTACTACCACGTATTTGACGCCTGGCAATATACATCAATCTTTCTAACGAGAAGATCGGTCGGAGACCGAAGACTTATCGATCGAAGGTTAGGGGATCCCTCAAAACAGCGCTCTTACTCCTTAGTGACACCGTGTGTCCTATCACTAATTAATTAATAACTCGCTAATTATACGACATAATTCATCGAAAATCAATAGGCTTCTGATCCGAGCTATTATGAATGCACATGAAGCAGATTCACCCTCGCTCTCGTGAGATATCGCGTACATCTAACAGACAGACAGACAGACAGACAGACAGACAAACAGACAAATACCTATCAACATACTTACCGGTTAAAATCGATAAGTAATTAGGTCAAGACTACTGAACACAAAAACAGCGATAGCCGTAAGCTCGAGGTTTCCATGTGCCGAGGTTTCTGTACATCCCGGCCGACCAATACCTGTACACCAATATTAATCGGAATGGTAGAATTTTTCATACGGGTTCCAACTTGCAATGCGAACACTTTGTCTCCCTGATATCCTTTGACCGGCTACCATGGTAGGCTACTATTTCAGTATTTTTAGACCAGCAGTAGACGGGTCAAGTATGGTTTGGTACCACAAGTACTTTTAGTGGGCGTGACTCAACAATTTTTTCATATGTCAAACTCAACCTCCATCGGACTACGCCAGAGTCGTCCAGCCCGTGGTCCGCGGGCTAAATGTGGCCCGCGGAAGCATTTCGAGTGGCCCGCGCTGTATTTTTCGGAATTTAATAAAAAAAAAATTGAGTATAACTAATATTCGAGTGATGTAGTATGCAAAAATACAAACGATTTGTTTATTTTCCTCAAATACGCTTTGCCAGCCATTTCAAACGAGCGACAAATGCCATTTTGAATCGAAAACAACTGGGAGGAGATATCGATACATAAAGGTTCCATAGTCGCTACATTAATATCACAATACATGCATGCTTAAAATCGATCTACTTCGTGGCAGAAATAATTGCAAAACAATCGAAGCCATGCCCAGATTGAGAATTCGTTGATATATGTTTTGTTCGGGTTACCAACATTTTATGTCCGTAAATAAAAGAGGCGTTTGCAAAGGTAGGCATGTTAAGACAGACGGTTCCCGCCGTGTTGAAGAGCAAAAGCGGGAAAGTTTTCGTGGTATTCCTTGGCGCTTGGCGAAAGCACTGACATCAAGTCTACTACTAATCATGGGGGCAGTTAATGATGATTTTGAAATTACCAAAGAGCTCTCAGCCATTGTCCCAATTAAGGGCACGACTCCAGGCATTGATTTATTGGGAGCTGTAATAAAAATGATTGAGCGTCTTGGTTCGTCTTTGGCAAAACTGTCGGGAATAACCACTGATGGCGGCCCATCAGTGGTTGGGAAACCACAGTTTTATTGTTCTTATAATTGTGAAAGTTTGGCGTGAGGGTATTGTTTGTTTTTCATTAACCTGTAGTCAGTGTAGCAAAACTAAAACATTACTATCATGTTGAGTGGCCCGCGCACTTAAGAGTAAATTAAATGTGGCCCTTCGGCCAAAAAGGTTGAGGCTCATCGTAACGATCCCGAAATGAGATCACTGAGGATAGTGAGTTCGTTATCGCCGGTTCGGTGCATTTGCAAAAATGGTTACGCTACACTACGCCCACTAGAAGCACTTAAGGTACCAGACCCCAGTAGGCTACAGCCCTAACAGGGCTTTGATGTAATATTTTTCACCTGACTATGTCCTCTAAAAATTACGTCTCTGCGACGTCACAGAGACGTAATAGAGTCCATCAAACTATACGAACTGTCATCCAAGACGCGCTCGTCTGCGCACCCGAAATCTAACGGCTATTTCTCTCGTTTTTTTGTCGCGACGATCCGAATATGAGCGAGATCGCTGACGTTAGTGAGTTCTTTATCGTCGGCGACGATGCCATTTCGGATGATCGTACGTATAGTTGGCAAGCTCTTTGATGTGATTGTGATGTCGTAGTGACGTAAATTTTGGATGGCATAGTCAGGCGGGGGTTTGAATTAAAATGTCAAAAAAATGTTATGCTACGCCCACTAGAAGTATGTTAGGTACGAAACTACACGAGACCCATTTTTAGGCCTTGCAAACATTTCCACACAAAACACAAATAATATAAATGACCAATCTGTAATCTAAAGAACAAAACGTAAAAGCCCTGTTTTATTCAAAAGCTGCAGGCTGTTTTCCCGGTATGTCGGTACCAACCTTTCTAACCTTTCCTTAATCACGTGACCGCCAAATTAAATCATGCGGAAAATCAATGTTGTGACGTCATTTTATATAATCAAAAAAGTTTAGAATGAAACAACAGAAATGATCAGAAAATATCATATTATATGTAAACTTTATGTTTTTTATAATGCAATAACGGTCGCATCTCATCTGATCAATAACTGTGTCATTGTATATGGGTTATATGCTAGTGATGAACGCCAAGGGCAGCATTGCTGGAGGAAGTCTTAAGTATCAAGTATTTGATAAAAACATAACAAAATGGTCGCCGGTTAACAGTTGTAGTCAGTAGAACCTAAAGAGAAAGGATCAGTCACCACGCCCTAAACTCTTTTCGTTTGATTCGGATCGTTAACTTTCAAAATAGCACTCTAGGATAAATTTGATTATCAACGAGTACCACAGACACTTTGCGACCACTAAACCGTTGGTACAAAAACCGCTGTATAAAAATCATTCCAAGACATCATCTCCATTTAATAAGACGACATATTTGTATCAAGGTGTCACATTTACATTGTGATGTGACGTTTTATTCTTTGCTTCTAAACCCCACATGACTCCAGAAATAGTATCGTTGCCAAATTCTACGGTTGTTTCATATTCCCAAACATAAAAACATACAGAATCCCACCTTTATGTCTTCAACAGTTTTATTATAACATAAAAATGTCTGTTCAGCCAATAAAACGAAACCACACGTAATGTTTTTAAACATGACAAATTAAATAAAGAATACAAGTCACAAGCAAATAATTCACATTGTTTTCAGAAATGTAGTAACTTGTAACAAAATTATGAACTGCAAATTATTGCTAAAATTTTTCCAACAATTTGTGTCCATGTGGAATATAAAATATTTGTAATATTTCATCAAGGTAATGTGAATATCATGGGATAAGCTGGAAGATAGATCAACATCTCATAGTTCTGCAAAGAAAATAAACATTGTATTTTTGAAAATATTGCCATAAATATTCATGACCAAAAGATTAGGAAAAAACGTAAATCATGACAAAAATTCTATAAGTATAAAGAACGTCCTTACACTATAAAAATTAAAAAGTCCAATCATGATAATTTATATCATTGAATACGGACAAACCATGTTTCAGTCATTCATTATAAACGTTTCACGTCGCCACGGTGGGACCTAGACAAACCTACAATGTAATTTTAGGGAACTAACTTTTTCCACCTAGTTCTTTGTTTAGGACGATGTGTAAAGTATATTAAACACATGTACATGAAAACATGAATCGCTTGTTTGAATTTGGCACAAAGCAGTTACTCTACAACTGGCACAAAACTACTTGCTATTTTGCTAATCGCTTGTATAAACTAACTTACCTATGCGGGAATAACGCACCGACCATTAAAGCATAAATGCCTGGGAGGACAATCAGAGTTGAATATGCAACCTGTATAGTCAAAAAATATTTTATTATTAGTTTAGGAGATTTGTCGAAAAGTTAGTTTTGAATGTTCATATTAAAATTGACTGTTGAATAGTGATAGGATTGAATTTGCATTGAATGAATCGTGGAATCAAAAATAAAACGACTTTTTTCAAAAATGAAAATTGGTTTTAAAAGAAAGTAGGCCTAGATTTGTAATAAAGTTATTTGACAACTGTAGTCAAGTTTTTAAGTTTATTTTTTCTATCAAAGTTATTTCATAGTAATGCGTTATCAAAATGAAACAAATAGTTTTGTTTTGATTATATTTGATTGGGATTGCATCAAGTAACAATACCTTATTAATTACCTTCTGCACCACTCATAACGGTTGCAATTAGAACCACCAACATGATCATCATCAAACATAATTGATAGAGCGAATACATTTTGTTTCTGAAGTCGTTTATATGTGCGACAAATGAATCCAAAGCAGGTAAACCAAGAAATGACTAAGGCTACTCTACTCTATTGTACTTCCCTTTTTATATACAATCATCACAATAGAGAAATCTTTCACAAAAGAACTTCACAAGATACAAAGAAGGTTGACGCCAGTCGTAGGCTCTCCCACCTCGGGGTGTTTTCCTATGATTAAACCACAGACGTCACAGATGAATAATTCGAATGCGGAAACTTCAAGTCAGTAACTACGTAATGTTTTTGTTTGAATTAGAAGTCTTTCAAAGTAGGGGCGGAGTCGCAATTTGTGTCAACCCAAATCGGTCACTTGGGAAGGAATTTAGTTTCACAAATGGCTTTCAGTGCGATTGAATTTTTCGTCTGTACAGTTTTAGGACTATTTTTGCATGTTTAACGGGAGAAATTTTATGTGACACAACGAACGTTATCGAGAAATTAAGACATAGCCCTATGTTGCAAATACTAATAATATTAGGACATATTTTTTCACCATAAAGAACAACACATAAGTAAAAAACATACATTATTTCAATACTTTAATTAGAAATAAATTCATATCACAACTGATTGAGAGGTAAGAAGTACACTACGTCAATTTCGCCACACGCGTTAAACCTTTGAATTAGATTCCTCCTACTATCTCTTATACGACTCTCATTCGCGCATTTCTCCCCAAATAAGGTCATAAACAGATAGCCGCTGATAAATAACGTTTGAAAAACCTGATTATTTCTGGTGGTTCGGCATTGCATATTCAACTTATGAACCTTGGTGATGGGCATGGCTTTCAACCCAAGATATGACGTTTGCCAACAACGTCGAAAGTGTTAAAGTGACGTCGGGTCAAGGGTCATAGAGGATATATATGTATATTTATGACTAGCCTAATTTAGCACTCTCAGATAGAAAAATAAAATTGAGCTAACGTGTGACCAAAAGCTCGGCTGATAAAATTTTGCATTGTAGATCTTAACGCACGCCTCTACATGAGTCTTATCCTCAATTATTTATTTATATATTGTTGTTTTTAGGATATTTTGACTGAATAACGTGGAATCACGAGTCACGCCAAAACATCATATTCTGTCATTACACCGGAACTCAATCCTGAAACTGCGTCAGAGGACCAACTTGTTATTAAGTTCAAAGCCTTGGCGGATAAAATACGAAAAGAACAAAAACAATTGAAGGAGTTTATGAATCAATTGAATGGAGCAAACCAAGCTTCTGGGATATAAAACAATAGTGTTTTGAGGTAATATTTGTGAACGAAATATATATTTGGAATGAAATGTATTTTATTTTCATAGTGTTCTTAATTATTATTTGAATGCATTTTAAACGATACCAAAAAATAGTTTATTGAAGTAAAATGTCGTTTCTTGTAATGACTACGGCTACGATAAAAAAATTGAACCATGGCAAATACGGTCACCCTAAGCATATACAATCAAGTGTGCTGAAAGATAGATCGCGTCAATTCATGCTTCATAGAGCGATACAAAACATTAGTGCTGGCCTTGTCTAATTTAAAATATTTGATAAATTTTTGTGCATGAGCGTGAATCGTAACTACTTAAACAAAAACATAGTATGTAAATTAGATGTCTGGATTTTCCAGGAAACCATGAGCGATCCTCGCCATCAAAATTAGGCGAATTTAAATTTACCGATAAGTGGCAATGCAAATACCCGTGCAGTTTTGACGTTATAACTGTTGTTGCAATCAAAATGTGAGCAACAGAACCCAAAAATTTGAGCATCATATTTTTCCCTGTCACGAATGGGACTTTTGTTCGATCACAAAAAATGTTTATATCACTCCTGTTTTCTTATATTTGTATAACATCAAGAAACAAACGAGGACATACTAATTAATAATATACATGTACATGTTCTTGCGGTGGTGTATGTGCCGTCTTCAATGTAAGAACTTTCGAAATGATCTCTGCTGACGATCATACAATGCATATAAACAATGAGTTGATTTGATGCAATTTTTAATTTTAAATGTATGTATTTGTAAAAATTAAATAAAACATATAATTTGCAACAAAATTATGCCATGGTTCAGGACAACGGTGATTTCGGCGTGTGTATAGTATTCTCTACTTACAGATGCTAGAGGGTTGCGACAGGGTTGGGTAACGTGATATACATATACAGCCAAAGCATATATATATACAAAGTTTACACCACATCAGGGTTTACCACATCACTTGACGTCCTATCATTGTATTTACCTTGTCTCACTCGAAATATAAGTATGTAAATGAGATATCTGCTTTTAGGAAACCATAACTTATGCGCCAAAGCAAATTCCATCTAAGTCTTGACTTTTATGGGAATCGAGATATACACAACAAAGCCTCAAAACATTTGCACTCTACTTTTTCGCTTCCACGTGCGTGCACCCTAAAACAATCATGAGCCGAAGACAAAGGAATTTTAAATATTTAAAATTGGAATTTGCTAACATAACCGTGACCTGGACGTGGGCATTCACGAATATCACCTGAACTTAATTGCAATTAATATGATGGAGTATGAGAAAAGTATTATTTGATTTTGTAAGTACAATAATGGATCTTACACAAAAATATATACAGATCAGCTAACGCACACGGAGTGGGCCTAATGATTGTTTTGTAAATTCTTCTGTTATTGTTGTTGAAACAAAACGCTTTTAATTTGTAACATATGTGTATCATCAAACACACGTAAATCACTAACTTATGATTTTCTGATGGTATAGTTGTTGACACGTACAATTGTTATCATTCAAAGATTCTTTAACAATATTTCTTCTAATGATGAAGCATAAACGAAACGAAATTTTTATGAAATCGGATCCCCATTCATATTCACGTGAGCTACGTGTTTCATGTTTATATTCAAATCAACACAGCTTTTATTGAGATCGATACAAATATACGATTCTGATTAACACCAGCTGTATCATGTTTTTGAATATTTCAAATAACAAGTAAATAAATATTGATCACCATCTTACGCATTTTGAGTATTAGGTAACGGTAGAGCTCTAGAGAGGTCGTTTGACTAGAAATTTGAAAGACGATGTCTGTTTATTATGAAAATCGTATATTACGAGTCCAAAACGGTTTCATAAATAATCCGTATAAATTAGGGCTTTGTTTTGCATAACTATCCAATTTGTGAGCTCGTACATGGTAACGAGATATGATGACCATACTCTCTCTGGTAAATACGTTTGACAACGCACCATGGGTACGACATGCCAAAACACGTTCTCTTTGTAGGTGTGAATAGCTCAGCAATGTTCCACGTGTTCGCAAAACCGTCGAGCGGGTGGCGCGCATTTTGTAATTGCGTAGAAGGCCACGTACTTGTATTGGATTTGTTCCCGTTGGCTGGCAGATAACAATATTTGACAAACCCTTTTTGGAAGATATGCGTTATCATCATGATATAGGCTAAACAGTATATATATAAAATCTATTGGTTGAACATGTACATTACTTGAATGTATATGTATATTACGTGACAAACCGTGAAAATATGGAGAATATGTATATACAGCACACGACCATTAGAGTTATTGATGGAGCGTGCTTGAGATGTTAATAATTTACTGAAGCTGTACGATCATACGACCTGACCTATACGGTCGTAACGTTACCACCTTGGTAACTTACATTAAGCATTTGCTTTTTCATTATTTTTATATATATATAACTTTCTATATTGTTTTCTCGGATTAACAGTTCAAATAAACTCTTCATATTTTTGCACTGTTAAACCTTTTAACTCGAGTTTTACATATCTCTATCTTACTCAAACCCAAAATCGGAGTGTTTTTTTGTCTTTCATACAGGGGGGATGCTTCGATGGATTTATACCATATCTTTTTCTTTTTACTATTTATTAAAACTTTATTTATAGGTTATCAATGTCTCAGTCACTAAACCTCTACTGTCGACTCTACTAAAATAATAAATTTTTTATCACAAAGAGTTTTCGATGAAAATTTATTCTCAAATTATTTATCCAAAATTTTAAACATTATTCAGAATTCTCTTTTTGCCATCATTGCTCGATTTTGTCAATTCTGTCCTGCAAAAATAGTTAAAATATTTAACACGACATTGAAATTTGAGCATAAAACTTGCAGAATTGTTTCAAGTCATTATTTAAGACATTTTTACTGTGGAGAATACACTGCTCCCAGCAAGCAGTTATCATTTATACATTTGTTAGGACATTGTGAGGCAGGTTTACTTGCATTTAGAAAAATAAACAAATTCAAACAAAGTTGTGGATAAACAATTAAAGTATATAATGAAAATTACCTATTAATGAGTCAAGCATTTTCCGTGAATGCAGAACCGATATCCATCCGGACAATCAAATATTGTATTGCAGTATATGTAACCTGAAAATATAATGATTTGTTTTGTAGTTTTCTTTCGAGCTTGTTGAACAAAAGAGGTTTAACTAATGTTTAAAACTGCTGTTACCTTCGACTTCAGTCATGAAGGTTGCAACGATGATCAACATCATAACCAACATGAGAACAAATTGCTGAATTGAACTAATCATGTTGTAGAATGTAGACAATGAAAAATGCGGTATAAAGTTATTAGTTACAGATAATCTGAACAAAAATAAAAAAAACATTATATATATTACAAAGTAAATTTTGCTGTTGATTTTCCATATCGACGTACCGTATTGTATTTAGATGAGAATTTTTGTAAATGTTGAATTCTGAAATTTCTGTATTTTCAAATGTGTCTCGTCGAACCTAATTCAGTTTAATTTAACGAATCGACATTGTACACGTGTATAAAACACAACGGCACATTTATCAAGCCTTTTGTTTAACATTTTAGTTGATATAGTCATGTCTACAATATACGTCTGTAAAAATATACGGGTTCCGCCAAATTAGACTAAATCAAGTCGGGAATTTTTGGGAATTGTTAGGCCAAAGATCCACCCTTAGAATATTCACAGTGATTCCTGGGGACTGTCCCTATTTCTTTTACCGAGGTATAGTTTACTTGCGCAATCGGCAACACGGTTCATCGAACCAATGTAATTCTCGTGGATGTAATGAAGAGAATGGGTGGTCCCGAAAAAGTTGTATGACTATTCTCGTTACCTTTTTTGCTAATATAATATTTTGTAATTTTCCATTTGTTTCTTTTAGTGTAGCAGGTATATCTTCATGAAAATCCGACTCGTAACAACATTTAATTTGTTAGTAAAATACTGACTTGATTTATAACTTTCTGCTTCAGGATTCAATAACCTAATCCAATAACCCAATATTTCTCAGTTGAGTTTTTAAAATGTTTTGTAATAACCCGCAATCATAACGTTCGAAATAAAGCAACCATTTCTAGCTCTCGATGTTCACAAATGATACGTATACTTCTGTACAAACGTCTTTATGTTGAAATGTTTGAAAACAACTGTTCCTCAATTGCAAAAAGTCCAGAAACGTGTATGTAAATTAGATAATTGGGTTCCGCTGCCTGTCTCAAGACATCATATTTATGTAAAATAATATTACCACACAAACCTACTAAAACAGATCATATTCGAGTTAGCGCCACTAACTTATTGAACGCTTTTATCCAAAGTCATTACAGGAGCTATAGTTCAGATAAATTATTGATTAAAATGATATTACGTTGTTTCTTAGACTTCATTTGCATTTTCATGGGGTATTTTGAATATTATTGAGACCCGAATGTGTTCGATGTTCGCGGGAAAGTTCTGCAAAGCCTTGTAGCCTATCTCTTCGCGTGAGGTATAAATTATTTTATTCAATCAGTAGGAAGAATGGGATGTAGTATTAAAATTTGATCCACAAACATACTATATGAGGTGTGATTCACAAGCAAACAATTGCATAACAATACAGTTGACTCACGCAAGAATATATATGACAGCGAGCCTTGGCGAAGGTTTAGTTTTAACACAATAACATTAACTTAAAATAACAATAGCGATACTTTGTGAAATAAACATCATTTAAATGAAATTCACGTGTGTACGAAATCGAATCTGTTGCTCACTTGGAAATAGTCCTCATTGTGGTTCAGGAATCAGACAGAACAATGAAATTATTCTGTAGATTTATTGTGTCGCATGAATTCTCAATTTTTGAATACACGTTTCCAATAAACTATGTCACAAATAGGGTAACCCGTCTCGACTTTGGCCCTGACTGTATTACTGTCGCCATTATATTAGTTGCTTGACCTCTGTGCGATCATGCGTGGCAATAGTCAATGATGTAGCGAGGTGGCGAAAATCGATCCTGCATGATTGCAGACTGAACCATGCTTTCGTGAAATATCGCGTGTATCTAACAGACAAACAAACAGACAAATACCTATCAACATACTTACCGATCAAGATCGATAAGTAATAAATATTGATCACCATCTTACGCACTTTGAGTATTAGGTAACGGTAGAACTCTAGAGAGGTCGTTTGACTTGGAATTTGAAAGACGATGTCTGTTTATTATGAAAATCGTTTATTACGAGTCCAAAACGGTTTCATAAATAATCCGTATAAATAGGGCTTTGTTTTGCATAACTATCCAATTTGTGAGCTCGTACATGGTAACGCGATATGATGACTATACTCTCTCTGATAAATAGGTTTGACAACGCACCATGGGTACGACACGCCAAAACACGTTCTCTTTGTAGGTGTGAATAGCTCAGAGATGTTCCACGTGTTCGCAAAACCGTCGAGCAGGTGGCGCGCATTTTGTAATTGCGTAGAAGGCCATGTACTTGTATTAGATTTGTTCCCATTGGCTGGCAGATAACAATATTTGACAAACCCTTTTTGGAAGATATGCGTTCTCATCATGATATAGGCTACACAGTATATATATATATAATCTATTGGTTGAACATGTACATTACTTGAATATATATGTATATTTTGGGTTGTATATGTATACCACGTGACCAACCCTGAAAATATGGAGAATATGTATATACAGCACACGAATATTAGAGTTATTGATGGAGCGTGCTTGAGATGTTAATAATTTACTGAAGCTGTACGATCATACGACCTGACCTATACGGTCGTAACGTTACCACCTTGGTAAATTACATTAAGCATTTGCTTTTCCATTATTTTTATATATATAACTTTCTATATTGTTTTCTCGGATTAACAGTTCAAATAAACTCTCCATATTTTTGCACTGTTAAACCTTTTAACTCGAGTTTTACATATCTCTATCTTACTCAAACCCGAAATCGGAGAGTTTCTTTGTCTTTCATACAGAGGGGATGCTCCGATGGATTTAAACCATATCTTTTTCTTTTTACTTTATATTAAAACTTTATTTATAGGTTATCAATGTCTCAGTCACTAAACCTCTACTGTCGACTCTACTAAAATAATAAATTTTTTATCACAAAGAGTTTTCGATGAAAATTTAATCTCAAATTATTTATCCAAAATTTTAAACATTATTCAGAATTCTCTTTTTGCCACCATTGCTCGATTTTGTCAATTCTGTCCTGCAAAAATAGTTAAAATATTTAACACGACATTGAAATTTGAGCATAAAAACTTGCAGAATTGTTTCAAGTCATTATTTAAGACATTTTTACTGTGGAGAATACACTGCTCCCAGCAAGCAGTTATCATTTATACATTTGTTAGGACATTGTGAGGCAGGTTTTCTTGCATTTAGAAAAATAAACAAATTCAAACAAAGTTGTGGATAAACAATTAAAGTACATAATGAAAATTACCTATTAATGAGTCAAGCATTTTCCGTGAATGCAGAACCGATATCCATCCGGGCAATCAAATATTGTATTGCAGTATATGTAACCTGAAAATATGAGATTTGTTTTGTAGTTTTCTTCCGAGCTTGTTGAACAAAAGAGGTTTAACTAATGTTTAAAACTGCTGTTACCTTCGACTTCCGTCATAAAGGTTGCAACGATGATCAACATCATAACCAACATGAGAACAAATTGCTGAATTGAACTGATCATGTTGTAGAATGTAGACAATGAAAAATGCGGTATAAAGTTATTAGTTACAGATAATCTGAACGAAAATAAAAAAAACATTATATATATTACAGAGTAAATTTTGCTGTTGATTTTCCATATCGACGTACCGTATTGTATTTAGACGGGAATTTTTGTAAATGTTGAATTCTGAAATTTCTGTATTTTCAAATGTGTCTCGTCAAACCTAATTCAGTTTAATTTAACGAATCGACATTGTACACGTGTATAAAATACAACGGCACATTTATCAAGCCTTTTGTTTAACATTTTTAGTTGATATAGTCATGTCTACAATATACGTCTGTAGAAATATACGGGTTCCGCAAAATTAGACTAAATCAAGTCGGGAGTTTTTTGGAATTGTTAGGCCAAAGATCCACCCTTAGAATATTCACAGTGATTCCTGGGGACTGTCCCTATTTTTTTTACCGAGGTATAGTTTACTTGCGCAATCGGCAACACGGTTCATCGAACCAATGTAATTCTCGTGGATGTAATGAAGAGAATGGGTGGTCCCGAAAAAGTTGTATGACTATTCTCGTTACCTTATTTGCTAATATAATATTTTGTAATTTTCCATTTGTTTCTTTTAGTGTAGCAGGTATATCTTCATGAAAATCCGACTCGTAAGAACATTTAATTTGTTAGTAAAATACTGACTTGATTTATAACTTTCTGCTTCAGGATTCAATAACCTAATCCAATAACCCAATATTTCTCAGTTGAGTTTTTAAAATATTTTGTAATAACCCGCAATCATTACGTTCGAAATAAAGCAACCATTTCTAGCTCTCGATGTTCACAAATGATACGTATACTTCTGTACAAACGTCTTTATGTTGAAATGTTTGAAAACAACTGTTCCTCAATTGCAAAAAGTCCAGAAACGTGTATGTAAATTAGATAATTGGGTTCCGCTGCCTGTCTCATGACATCATATTTATGTAAAATAATATTACCACACAAACCTACTAAAACAGATCATATTCGAGTTAGCGCCACTAACTTATTGAACGCTTTTATCCAAAGTCATTACAGGAGCTATAGTTCAAATTAATTATTGATTGAAATGATATTACGTTGTTTCTTAGACTTTATGTGTATTTTCATGGGGTATTTTGAATATTATTGAGACCCGAATGTGTTCGTCGTTCGCGGGAAAATTCTGCACAGCTTTGTAGCCTATCTCTTCGCGTGAGGTATATATTATTATATTCAATCAGTAGGAAGAATGGATGTAGTATTGAAATTTGACCACAAACATACTATATGAGGTGTGATTCACAAGCAAACAATCGAATAACAATACAGTTGACTCACGCAAGACTATATATGACAGCGAGCCTAGGCGAAGGTTTAGTTTTAACACAATAACATTAACTTAAAATAACAATAGCGATACTTTGTGAAATAGACATCATCTAAATGGAATTCATGTGTGTACGAAATCGAATCTGTTGCTCACTTGGAAATAGTCTCCATTGGGGTTCAGACAGAACAATGAACTTATTCTGTAGATTTATTGTGTCGCGTGAATTCTCAATTTTTGAATACACGTTCCCAATAAACTATGTCCTAAATAAGGCAAGCCGTCTCTACTTTGGCCCTGAC